CCCCCCCCCCTCTTAAACAATCTTAATAGTGTTGATAAGGGCATTAAACCTATACCATTTTTCCATTTTTTACTGGAGTTTATTTGATCTGATTGAATCTTGTTGCAGGCCAAGCCTGGACGAGCCAGGTCCGTTCACTGCTCTGACCCAAGGCCTGAAACTGTCGAGTGTGCTAAACAAGTCGCGGCCAGTCACGCACGAGTCCATCGTCAGTTTCTCACAGCTCAGGCAGGAAGTCTTGTCTCAGCTTTTGCACTCTGACCAAGTGGCTGGGGTCAAGGTGAGGGTGGAAGTTCATTTTGAGAAATTCGCGGTTAAAGTGAAGTATAACAGACCTGCTAAGTACTCTAAAAACATCAGAGCCCTCCAATCTTTTTTTTTTTTAACTGGCAAAGAATCCTGATTAAATTTGCCTAAAATCTGATTTTTTTCTAGAATTCTGTCTTCATTGATTGCATGTGATTTATTGTAAATGAGATGAAAATAGGCATTTTTAATTGTGTTTGTTTCAGTGGAAGAGATATCCGGCCTTGAACAAATACTTGAAGGGTCACCGGCGGGGGGAATTGACCGTGTTCACCGGACCCACCGGCTCAGGAAAGACGACGTTTATAAGTGACTACTCTCTGGATCTCTGCATGCAAGGGGTAATAAATCGTCGGTGTCATTCATTCACCATTGTCGTATGTCAAAATACAAGGCTTTCAGGGGAAGCAAAAGACTTTTTAATTTCACTCAGGATACTATGTTAATACAAAATTTTTAATTCATCTTAATCTGTTACAATTATAGAAAGAGGAATTAGATTAGGACTAATCAGTGGACTTCATTAAACCCAACAACATACTTGATTTTCATTTTCTTTTAGTATGACCTTATATATGCGATTCCAGAAATCTTAACTCTGAGGAACTGTTACGTTCAGTCAGAATCATTTTTAAAACACAGTTGAATCTGCTCTAACGAACAACTGTTCAATATAATCACTAGTACATACGACCACTTCCAACTCCCCCCCCACCCCCCCATTTAGTCTTTGTATATTGTATTGACACTGTCCAGGAGAACCTCCTGTGTGGGTGGTTGGCGAGTGCTTTGGTGTGGTTTGCTGCTCTTTCTTTCCTATCAAACATCTATCGTCCTTATCTCCCCTCCTTTTTTATGTTT